CATTAAGTTGCGAGGCGGAAGATCTGTAGTGACGCTAGATTGGGAAATTTAGGGGGTTTTTCTTACATTAATCTCATTTCAAACAATTCATCAACATCATTACTTGATAGCAATATCCGTAATGGTGAATCTTACCTAACTGCAGGTCTAAACCGCCGGGTCAGTGGAGTGTAAAGGTTGTGGAAATTATTTGTCAGGGAATTATGTCTTGCATAACCGTCTGTCAAATGGTTTCTACTTCTTTTTCCGGGTCAAATAATAATAAAAAAAATTGCACATCGACGTCACCATATATCTTACTCGCTTTTTAGTGTCTCTCACCCCAAGCTACGAGGCAACCGTCTTACTTTATAAATCTTGAGCTAAAAAGTCCTTGCAATCACAATTCGTTTACATGACCTACCACTCTAATAATGTAAGCAAATTTTGCTTAAAATTTATTTTCGAAAAATATTCAGAAAACACAATCATTGCACGGTAAGATATAAATAAAAAATAATAATATAATGTGATTATTTTCAGGTTTTATTGAGAGATGTCACGAAGCAACAGATTCAATCAATGATTTAAGGTTTACTAAGTTTATTTTCTGTATGTTTTTATAATAAAAAAACAATTATAAAAATGTTTGAATCATTATTACTTACTAGAGAGAATAAGTGTTTTGTCAAAAATAATAAATTCCTACTTCACACCCCTGGTTTCGTAACTATTGCTATATTTACTGAGGATACTGATCACGAATGTGAACAATTATTATTGCTAGGAATGGTTTTGTTCAAGAAGGATAACTGTTCGGCTTATTTTGTTATAACACGTTTCATTCCAACCTACATCTACATTTATTACATCTAGTATAATAAATTTTTGTTCCTAAATTTAAAAAGTGCTTGTTGTAGTAAGATACAACTAAGGGTATCATCAGTAACTTTACACAATTCAGGAGGTACAGTTTCCGTCATTTTGCATTTATCTCGTGCCATATCTATCGCCACTTTTGTCACTTTTTAAATATTTTTTTTGTATGAAATAGTGGGACCTTCTGGCTCAAAATTTGTCAGTAAAATTCAATTGTAACAAAAATTCTTCATTTAACCTGAAATCAAATATTTTTATCTATTTCACCTCAAAAAACAAAGTTGCGACGTTGCCAGTGAGGTGATAGCTGTGTCACAAGGTACCCATTTTTCAATTTCAAAGCTTGGCAACCCTCATTCACGAACGTTTTTTCGCAAGTAACCTTATACATACCAGGTGAATAAAAAGTAAGGAACCAAACGTTTTTTGCTTAAAATATTAATTTTTTGTAAAAACTAATTGATGAGTGATAAAGTACTATAAAAATGTGATGTTTTAACAAGAATAAAATTTTTCAAAATTTCTTTTTGTTTTTGAGTTCTACAAAAAAAATAATTTTTTTAAATGGCAACCCGCTATAAAATCATTTTTCTCATAAAAGCTATACTCTAAGGATTACAACTATATGCTTTATCTTTAACTTTTTCAAAAAATTTTTTTCACATAAATTGCTATTTTGACAAAAAAAAATCGCATAACTCAAAAACAAAACAAAAATTCGTTCTGAAAATATGATCACATTTTTTATATTATTTTAATTTATATTAATTATTATTTTCTGGAGGCAAATGATTAAAAATAAAACCGCTTAGTTCCACACTTTATATTCACCCTGTACATACTACCGTGTTCGCAATAAAATTATCTTTATTTTCATGTACAGGGATTTTTTTATTAGTATATACATTGCCCTATGTACTGGTCAGTCACAGGAGAGTTACTTCTGAAATAAGTTGGGCGACAACCCATTATACAATTCAAATGGGCGTCTAGCTTTCTCATTTTTAAAAATTATAAAATTGAATCCAAGAGTACTTTGCATATCTTTTCATTTTGACATTTAAAAAGTAACGAGTCAATTTTCGTTTAATGCAATGTATTATTACACAAATAACGAGAAAGTGGACATGCTCTTAATCTATGGAGAATGCAAAGAAAAAATCTATGAGACGAAGAGGATCTGAAGAACAGAATAAGGCAAAAGTCCAGAAACTACTTTGCGACGTGTGAGACACTCAATACTAAACAGAGTTACGTGTCGATGGAAGAAAGACACTTTGAAAATTTCCTGCACTAGTGACGCTGGTGTATTTTGTTAATACTTGCATTTGCTTTTTAATATTCATTGATTAAATAAATTAGGTACTTGTCATTTTGACGACCTCACTCATTTTCAACCAGCTCACATTGATTACTGAATTAATTTAAATAAAATATTATATCCAGTTACATACGCGAAAAGTATTTTTGGTTGCAAACTAATTAATTTTCAAAGTAACTCACCTGTGACTGACTGTGTATACAATTTAAAAAACCGGGTCAATTTCATAGGGTAGGCAACCAACATTTCAGGCTTTAGAGGGTACTAGATATTAAAATATTCAGAACTAAAATTTTGTGTCAAGTGTCAGTCTTAAAACTTAAAGCGCAGCTTTTAAAAGTTAATACCATTTATAATACCATGTACACCAAAGTAGATTGGGAGATATGGTCCCCTCGCTTGGCCCCCACAATCGCCAGACTTGACACCTAACGATTTTTTTCTTTTGGGTTATTTAAAAACAAAAATTTATACTAATGTTCCAATGCAAAATGTAGAAGAGCTGAAAGAACGTATTCGTACAGAATCTTATATAGATCTTGAATTTATCAGAAATGCAGTGGGGGGTTTTCAAAATCGCTTGGGTTATGGTTTGGAACTGTAAGGAAAGCATTTTGAACACTTGCTTGAATTATTAAATATTTTTCATGTTTTGATTGGTTTCAATTTTTTTTTTAAATTAATATTTAATTACATTTACTTTGTTGTTTTTTAATAGTTTGTCTTTTATTTATCGATATTAAAGTCTTTGTAATATTGGTTGCCTATGCCTAGAGTCATAGAGTAACGGCTAATCGTAATCATAGTAACATTGAAATTGACACGTTTTTTTTTTAATAGGGCTATGTATATTAATAAAAAAAGTTTTCAAACTTAACAAAAGCAAGAGTGTATTTTGGGTTGCCTCTTAAAATTGGTTAGCCCTGTATAATTAATGTCAGTTATGTCATGGCTAAAAGTGAGGTTATGGTCTATTGTTTTCGTCTGAAAATTACTTAAAGTAAGTAAAAATCTCCGCAATTACAATAATTTCATTGTTTTTTTTTAGTTCAATTAAATTGAATAATCTTAAATTGTTACAGTAAGAATTATGTCTATTAGAATATTACAACAATTGAGGCACAGTTATTTGGGTTAGTGTATCAAATTTAAATTTGTGTGAATTTTTAATCGCAAGGCAATTGAAGAAGGAAAAATACAAGTGTTTTCATACTTCAACAAATATTGCTTTGATAAAAGTTATACATGACGATTTTTGTATAAACTTTGATTAGTTATCTTTATACTGACTAGAATGAAATAAGTTCAAGTTTTTATTTTTGCAGCATATGGTGGAGTGCGCCCCAAATTGAATTGCGTGGAACTCAACAATTATTTGAGTCAAGGTAAAGCATTAAATTTTAAGTTATTATGTATGACTTTTGATGAAATTGACTCCTAGATTATTTTAGGAAATTTTAAACAAAGAATAATGGAAAGTACTTATAAAATTAGAGTCGTTATTACTTCATAAATACTTAGAAATTGTATAGTCAATGTTATGCCATTAAATATCAAATTATGCAACCTTATCACCTTTGGTGCTTTTTTTGTTGCATAGTTTTTTTTAAATTTCATCGTTTGATACAACCAAGCACTTATTGAAAGTTAGTCTTAAGGCTCTTCATCGTAGAAGATAACGGTAAATCCTGAACTGCAGTTGTATGTTTAATTTTTTTGTGTCATACAACATTGCAATTCGTCATTTTTAACCGATTTTCTATGCGTCAGCCGGCTATCACTGTTGCACTCATCGGTGTTCATATCTCCTTCAACGACAGCAAATTTGAAAGGCCGATAGATACGACCCGGGTACCTACTGGTAATAAAGTAATAAATTTTAGAATAGGGCCTCATC